ACAACGCTCTCCGGCCAAAGCTTCTTCCAAGCAGAAGTTAGGGTTCTCTTGGTAACCCATTCCCCCGCCTTGTCGATCATCTTGAGGCAGGCAACGATGTGGAAATGATTTTTCCAAACCTCTTTGAGAGTGAGGTTGGTGTCTTCAGTCACCTGAAAACAATGCTCGAAGAGTGCTTTAGTGTAGAGCTTCTTAAAGTTAGAAATAACTTGCTGGTCCATGGGCTGGAGTAACGGAGTGGTGTTGGGAGGCAGAAACTGGATCTTGATGAACTTAAATTCTTCAGAGTTGTCATCTTGTAGGCCTGGAGGATTCATGTACATATATCACAGTATAACAAAAGTTTAAGAACATGTGTAATCACAAGCGACACTACGATGCTTCTGGAACGAGTGCTAAACACAGACTGATGTAACATGCGCACAATTGGGGACTTCCCCTCTCCTCGCCACTCGTTATGTGAAACGTCGCTCGTTAAGCAAGTCATTTTTTTAATTATTTGTTTTGCTCGTTATGCGAATTACTCGTTATGAGAGGTGCTCGTTAAGCGAGGTTCTACTGTATCTAACAGAAACAGGGGGATTTTCATTAGCGTCATTTGTAATGAAATGTTCGACTCGATTAAAATATGTAACATGTAGCTTAGGCGCCGAGAACACATTTCGTAACTCCGGGGTACCTGGATTGATTTCATCTAAAGCTGACTTTAAAAAAAACGCATGCGTCTATTCAACTTAACAGAAATTATGCAGATGTTAAAAAAATGAAGGGCAACAGAGAAATTGACAGCCGCTTAAAAAAAAAAAAAAAAAATAGAATGGGAGGCATCCACAAATGTTACATGTTCAACTTAGAATATTCCACTTAGCACACCAATTTAATATTTCGTGCAATTAAAAATCGATTATGACGCCTAAGACGACGTATGTTTCTACAGGCAATGTTATTATTATTTTTTTTTAAGTGAATAATGTCAAGCGTTGGGACTGAGGGTGGTGACGATAGCTTCGGGTGCATTTGGGAGGTTGTGCAAAAAAATAAAGGAGTGATGCAATTATTGCAGCCGTCGGATTTATTCTTCTCATTAAAATATTTTTGATGTTATTCCTAGCTATTTTCGTATTAATAACCTTCGTTATCCTAATCTTCTGAACGTAATGGAAATCTTGCTATGTTTGATTTTTTTTTTTTAAGCAACGTTTTATGCTCTAATGCGTTTTACTTATAACATATTGCTTTAGACATATGCAGAAATATAGATTCATAAGAACTTACATTTGTTTCTGAATTTTTATGTTTGCTCGAACAACAGAATTCTTTCTTTTGAGAATACGTATTTCGTCCATTTTAGGACGAAATTTTTTGTTATTTGAAGCCCCACCCTGGCTTTTGCCAGGGGCCGCAATATAGGCAGGCCATAAATATGGTCAATTGTCTGAACGGGGTTTCTGGTACCTCTCCACGACGATCCTCATCCACATGGTGGCACTTTGTGTCATCGGTTGTTTATCGCTTGTGTGATGTCCTAGTGGGGTAGAAAGCCAGTCAGTCAGTCAACAGATTTCTTAGCTCAGTCCACGTCGTCCCTATGTGGGACGCAATTTTTCATTATTTGGTAAGCCCCACCCTGACTTTTGCCAGGAGCCGCAATATAGCCTGATGGCTGAACCGGGTTTCTAAGACCTCTCCACGGGTGATCCTCATCCACATGATGGCACTGTGTGTCACCGGGTGTTTATCGCTCTGTGTGATGACCTGGTGGGGTAAAATGTACTTACTTACGTTCTAACAGATTTTTCCTAGACGGACGCTGAGCTTTTTTATACCTGATAAAAATGGGCAGTAATCCAAAAATGTTTGGGAATGTCTGATACAGACAATCTAATGTTCGATAATGCAAGAATTGAAATAACTTACAGGCACTTTCTACAATGCAAGAAATGTGGACGACTGATTATACCACCAGTGAAATAAATAACCGAGGGTAATGAATCCCAGTCAGTTGGAAAATAAAATATAGCATACAGGATCACAGATATAGCATAACATTTGATCACATATTGAGTCATTTGATGAAAGGTTGCCACTTAAGAAGGCATATGCCATAAGAGTAGACTAATTGGGGTTTTTCTTCGAAGTCGGAGTGCATCTGCCTGAGAGTCAAAGAACCAACAGTCTGCACACTGATAAATCATATCTGTAAAAACTGATGTGCATGCAACACTCAGGTTCTGGAACAAATCTAAAGTACAGAGGTGGAGGAACAACAAGAACTTTCCGCTAGAGTTTACAAGCCAGTGAACGCAAAAAAAAAAAAGAAGAAGAAATGGGTCTCTTGTTAGACATACGAGCAGCCTATGGGACCTCTCATGGCTTCGGGTGGAGGACTAACTATGAAGATAGACAGGCTTTGGCTTTGCCTTCAAGTAGTCTGATTGCGACGTTATGATAGTAACTAAAGGAGTAGCTTGACTTGAGACACTCGTGCATGTTTACTGACTCAGCAATATGCCCATGAAGGTTAGGAAGGGCTGGATTCAAAGGCTGGAGTGTGGCGCGGTGATTTATGTCACAGGCGTGAGGGGAAGTTAAGTCCAACATGATGTGTATAAGGAGATACTCCGTACGTCACTCGGGCGCCAGTCCTTAACTATCCTGGTTGTACGGAACCTCACGCAAGACCCCTACAGCACGTCCTCGTCGTGCGCCACGGATAATGTCTCAAATGAGCATTAACAGAGCTGTCAGGGGATCTCGGAGTTCGGCGGCCCCCAGAGGTGATGTGTCCTTGTGGCTCTCATCAGCCCTCTCCCAAACGCTTGGGTGAAAAATGTTATCAAAACTCATTAGGAACATGAGTAGGTTTGCCAAACATACAGCCAAAATTACAACCCTTGGTTAAAAGACTGCGGAGTAAAGAGAACATTGTTCACTGCACATCCTCTGTTAACCCTCAGTGTCGTCGTCACCGCGCTGAGGTACACCACAACAGCAACTATCCACAGGCTGGCCGTCCTTGTACATCCTCGGTTAACCCCCAGTGTCGTCGTCACCGCGCTGAGGTACACCACAACAGCAACCATCCATAGTCTGGCCATTCATGTACATCCTCGGTTAACCTCAGTGTCGTCGACACCGCGCTGAGGTACACCACAACAGAAACCATCCTAATTGTCCGACAAAACTAGATCATACGGATCAAAATCTGACCATCAAAATTTGTATTGAACTGAAAAAGACCGAATGTCCACACCCAAAGACCCCACTCGCCCGAGTGTTGGGACAAAACTGATAACGATATGCCTGATGCAGGATGTAAAATTCTGTCGGGCTAACGGCTCGTCAAAGAAATCTAACGTGCGAAGAAAAAAGAATGTACCTATCTGTGTGGTCACAAAAGTCCAAAACCCACGGTCTGCTCCCCGCTGACTTCCAGAGGGCGCAGCCCCTGTCGAGCGGGAGGCCTGATACGGTTGTGAGGTTAAGCAGGCATGTGCAGGACGTGACGATTCCTTGGGTGAGCCCAGAACCAGAGCGCCATGTGCCGGCTCTGCATGCATGGAAGCCTCCTTGGATGGCGGGGAATGCCCATGATCTGCCCCTGCCTTCCCTTGAGGGCTAACTGTTCCACAGGGGGCTGCCCCAAAGGGGTACTCCGAGGGCAATACCTGCGGAGGAGACAAAGTGGACACCACACAAATCAGGCAACGTCTCGACCCACACAAAACAATGGCCACAGTCAACCTAGAAATAGGCCTGACGTCTTCCTTCGAAGTCCATGAGGCAGGGAAATGAAAAACGGTTCTACACGCAAAAATCAGGTCCAGGTGAAAGCTAAAAGTCCAAGCGGACGATTAACCGGGACCTTCCACTGGAATTCACAGCCGGTGATCGATAAAAAAAATAAAAAAGGCTGGAGTCTTCAGGTGCTTGGTTTAAGTATCTGCGACTTTCACGGCTGACAAAGATCATTTTAATTTTTGTACCACGCTAATTAATGTATAAGAGGAATCGAAACAGCTGATAGGCTTTGTGGGAAGGGTTGCTACGAAGGGTCCACGATCAATGAACACGCGGACTTACTGAATATGCCAGTATACGTTTATGCGAATTGAGTGATGACTGTAAATCTGCAACCATGACCAGACTTTAAAACTCCCATCAGGTCAAAGAGAATAAGGCCAGCCATGAATACTACTCTGGAAACCAAGGAAGAATAGTAAACAACACAGAGTCGATGTTGCCAGCTGCAGGATATTCTGATAAAAGGATTTGAGCTCCTATTAACTGAATGACTTGATTCACAGTGAGGATAATCTGTCGACTAACTTGCTGACTGATTAGACAGCCGGCTGCCACGCGCAGACGGTTCAATCTTTTTGTTTAAAACTCTGCGCAGTCCTCTCCCCAGTTAGTTGCGTATCCTTTACAGGACGTTGCAAAACTAACCATAGCATTTATTGGCTGTTATAGTTTTTTTAGACAAACTTTACGTTCACTAGTTTGCCATTGCTTACTGAACTGTGAGTTTCTCGGTACCACTATCGAAACCAGCGCAAGACAAATCCTCTGCAGCAGGGATCGAACCTGGAACCCCGGCATTACAAAGCGCGTTCGCAACGCCTAAGCCACAGTCGTTGACCCTCTCTCCAGTACATATTTTAATATGGAATTCACATCTCACGTTATTAAGTTATTGCTTTTGGTATTTGACGCTTAACTGTATTAAACATGATGTAACTAGTATCTAATACTGACCAGGAAAGGTGTACATATGTGGTGGATTCAACGGCCAAGAATGCATGAACTCGGCTGAGTACTACACTCCCGAGACGGGTCAGTGGACGCTCATCACAAACATGAATAGCAGGCGGAGTGGAGTGGGAGTCATTGCCTACAATGAATGCATCTACGCTTTGGGTGGCTTCAACGGCGTCACTCGTATGAACACTGGAGAGCGTTACTGTCCCCGCACACGCCAGTGGGTAAACATACCTGAAATGTACAGCCCTCGCAGTAATTTCGCCACTGAGGTTAGTCCAAAAGTGTAGCTGAGAGTTGGTTCACTTCAATTAAATCATTTTTTTTTTCTATCAATGAGAGCATCTGTACCTCACCCCTCGGTTATTTTGAGGTAATTTTTTAAGTTTTCATGTCTATGGTTTTCAACTATCTTTGCTTCGCCGTTGTGGTTGTATGTACTGTTAATGTAAATTCTATGACAATAAAATTTTCTTGTTTTCCACTTCTCTACTACTACTTGTGTTGCTGCTGTTACCACCACAGCTACAAACTCAACCACCACTACTACTATTACTACTACTACCACAATATCTCATGGGCATTTCTACAGCTTTCTTCAAAACAAGCCCGAAAAAGACTTGCTTTAGCAGTAGTTAGTTAGTAGTTACGGTTCCGGCATCACAACAAACCAGCTTGGCCCATAATAGCTCAACCCTCTATGCCAGTGATTCCAGTCACAAACTGAGTCAGAAACGCTGGATTCTTCAAGCGAATGTCGTAGCCATACAAAGTGTCCTCAGTCAGCAAAACACACGATTTGATCTGGCAAACCATAATTTGCATTCCTCCTTAAACACACTGCGAGACCAGGCGTCATCGCTAAAAATCAACTTCATTCAACGATAGCTGGGCGATGAGTAGATTAAAACTATTCCTGAAAATTCTCCACATGTCCTCGGCCAAGTTGCAGCGACGGCCAGCAATTAAATAGCAGCTATAGCACACGCCTTGTCCCAGGAATACAACAAAGAAAAATACATCACCCATCATTGCCATTATTTACGAATTTGGAACTCGGTCAATAACCGATAATCACAGCTCATAGTGCCACCAGGAGCACTAAACTCAGTAGCTCCGGCAGAGATTAAACAGTAGGAAGAACCTGTGGCATGCCACCTGCAAAGGAAACAGTAAAGGAAAAGTAAAATAGAATACTATGGACTGTGGATTCTACCGACTGTTGCATATTTGCGCTGGTCAGTAAAGCATTTAAAATAGCAAGACTTTTGCAGACGCCTAAAAGTAAAATTCCAGAACGCTCTGTTCGTGCTGCCACCCCCCCCCCCCCCCCCCCCCCCCCCCACGTCCACTTTTTTCTAATGTGTCAGATAATCCATCAAAATGTTGCCTCATGAAAAATGATTTCAGATTGAGTACTCGTATTTGACTTCTTGCGTCGTAATATAACCTCTCATGCCGTTTAACAGTGGTAATGTTATACAAGTATCTACGACTTATTTTGATGCTTTACCCCGACTACAAAGAAAACCTGGGAAGCGGGGGAAGGGGGCACTCACAAAGTTTCTAGGCAACAAATAGCAGCCGGGGGGGGGGGGGGGGGGCAAACATATTTTTTTCAGCCATTATATAATACTTTTGTATGGGAGCCAAAAGACCCCTAGTAATGATGCGTATAATTTCTCTTTAAAGGTATTTGTTCAAATCACACATTTTCAAAGGTTTTATTTAACTTTGTGTCATTTAACATATTGGTGTTTTTATTATGATTATTATGATTATTATTATTATTATTATTAGTATTATTATTAATATTATGATTATTTATAGCAGTAGTATGAGAATCAACACTGAAAAGACAGAAGTAATATCAATAGGGAAAAAGAAGACAGATCTAAACGTAGCAATAGAGAACAAAGGCATTAAACAGGCATCTGAGTTTAAATATCTGGGAACTACATTTACCGAAGATGGGAAATTGGATAAAGAAATTAACATTAGATGCAGTAAAGCAAACCAAGTATTGGGACAGCTAGCTCCCCTCTTACAGCATAAGATAATCCCAATCAGCACAAAGAGACATCTTATTCAAAGCATATGTATTCCAACTCTGTGCTACCAGTGCCAGACATGGTCACTCACAACAAACCATAAAAGAAAATTAGTAACCATGGAAATGAGATGTCTGAGAAGGGCTGTAGGAGTGACCATAAGAGATAAGATCAGGAATGTGATCATAAGAGAAAAAGTCCGCACAGAACCAATTCTAAATTACATACAAAGACAGCAAGTGAAATGGTTCGCCCACTTAGAGAGAATGCTTTGTGACACCATAACATACAAAGCATACATGGAAAGAGAAGAAGGACGTAGAGCAAGATGTAGACCAAGAACAATATGGAAGGATAACATCAGAGAAGCTCTACAACAGCACGATGTGCCTATGGTCGAGGCGGCCAGAGGAGCCAGAAACAGAACCTTATATCTCCCTCGACACCCACAGCGGTAAAAGAGGAAGTGAAGAAGAAGAAGTCGTTGCAGCAGTGATGCTAGTTTTATTATTTTAATTCCTTTATATTAGCCCCTTACAAAATTATGTGGGAGGGGTGTCGTCAAGGGACCTAAGCTCCCACGTTCGGGTACCTATGCCTGATACCCTTTTTAAGCTCCGTCGAAACTGCTTTGTTTATTACTCAGATTAATTTTTCCCCCCATGCAGTGCATTTTAGCAGTTCTTAGCATCAACAGTCTTCTCAATGCTCAGTCTACACCTGGAGAATGGGGGATGACATAGTCCTTAAGGACATCCTTTATGATGACTTGAAAACGGGTGGAGGCCGATCTCTACTACCATACAGAGACGTGTGCAAACGAGATATGAATGATACAGCTAATGAGGTGAACTTGTGGGAACAAAATGCCATGGACCATGCTGTTTGGAGGGAGCACATCAGGATGGGAATCATAATTGAGGAAGAAATGATTACAGCAATGGATGAGAGCTGAGCGTCTGAGAACAAACAGACAAAACACAAATGTTCACAACAGCGGTGTTGAAATTCCATGATATAACTGTGGAAGAGTTTTCTTGACGCGGGCGGGTCTTGCTAGTCACACTCACCATCGCCATGGACTGTGAGTCTCATGCCTCCTCATACCGCAATATAACACTGTCGTTTTGAAAGACGGAAAGGTGCCAGTCAATCCTTTTTTAGCAGAATTAATAGATCTAATTACTCGGTATTGCTACAAAAGTACACAATAGGAAATTAAGGCAAATATACACATTTGTATTGCCGGTTTATATTATAGATCATTGACGACATGTTGTTCGCCATTGGTGGCTTCAATGGAGTGACCACCATCTTCAATGTAGAGTGCTATGACTCCAACGCCGATGAATGGTAAGCTTTCCAAGGACTTGATTTTGGTATTTTATATTATTTGCTGTTTATCATCGAGGCCGCATTTAGCTACTGTGCGGTATGAGCAGCTGCACAGGGCGTCAAAATATATGGAGGCCGCAAAAAACCACAATTTATTGTTAGTAGTCTGTACGCTGACAGCGATGCTGAAGTTTATTCGTGGAAAGAAGAGGCGTAAAATAAATGACTGCACGGGAGCGTCACAAATGCTAGGTACTGACATGTGTATCATCATCATAAGTGTGATGATGTATAGTCTATATCTGCCTTCACATGTAGGAAATAGTTACATTTTCATTTAAAAGCGTATGCATCGGCACGATCACAGTGTTTGATTTTAGGTAATACAGCCTTGACTGAACCTACCTGATTTAACAAAATTACTGACTATTAGTTTTCACTAACTCTATCTATAAGCAGAACTTTTAGAATTGAAGGCATACAGCGGTGGCTGATTGGACTATTTCTCATCAGTTGTCGGATTTACTTTAATTGTTATTTCCGCATAAATTACATACGGGCCTGCGGGCCTACGATATTTCTATTGTTTTTTCTCATACAGTGAAACCCATATTTGTCGCAAACATTTCATTTCAGATATAATTACTCCTAGTTTCATTCCTTGCAATGTTTACTGAGGCCATGACTCTAGAGCAGAGAGTTTATGAAGAAAAGTTGTTTATCATCTGTCGATTGATTGCTGCACTGATCCGTGGATTGTCTGAGCAACAGTGACGTTTGGCAAAATTATTAGAAAATATTTTAGGTGTCTACTCTCTTCCACATTTATTACCCTATGATGACAAAGTGAGGCATAAAAAATATTTTGGCCACATTAAAAGATATTTCATTCTTAAAACTGCTACCAAACTTTATGTGAAACAGTAGGAAAAGATGTGTAGATAAATATCTAGACGGCTTTGCCATATAGAACAATGGAGTTAATTAAGAACATAGACCTGGTATAAGTTTAGTGATGTATAACAATGGCAAGCCATGACGGGCAATATTGTGCCGACTTGTTGACTTAACTTTAATTCTAAGATGTGTTTTATTTTGGTGTTACACAAACATTCATGTTACTTTGTATTAGTCTCTTACAAGACAGTGGTTCTATTTCTTGTTTAAACAGTTACAGTTATTGGGACCTCTGGCGCCTCAAATAGGTACTGAAAATTCTTCTTTGGTCTTTCTAACCCCCAGTGGAGCATAAACCCTCAACCAACTCACACCAGGTCGTTCTAACCTTTGTTATTGCATGCAGATCTCCCCAAGGCCCCCCCCCCCCATCTTGTTAACTTCACTCGCTGGTTCCCTTCTCCATGTGTTTTTTTATATTCCTTTTTTTACTCACCCTTGTGGGTTCCAGTGCATAGACATTCTAGTTATATTATTCTCAGGTTTTCTCAGTGTGTGTTATATCCAACGCCAGCGTCTTCTTTTCTTCACCTTTTGGTCCACTGGAAATTGTTTTTGTTTTTTCCCCGAAGCTCTACATTAGTGATTCTACCATACCATTTAATTCCCTCTATTCCGTGCTTGCACCAGTTAGTAAACGTTGGTAGTTTATTTGTATTTGCCTTTGGATAATTAAATACAGTAAAACTTCGATTAACCGTCGCCGTCTTGACAAGATCTGGGATGCATAACCGAACAGACGTATAACATAAATCTTTTATTACGTAAGTACAGTAACGTGATTTCACCATAGGCTTGGAACTAAAATGAAAAACAAAAAAAAAAATCCTTCAAAAATGAATTATTCATAACTGTTATTTAATTTTACAAAACCATCAATACAAACTTCAATATAAGAGTAGTAATTTACTGAAATCTGTTGTAATACTATAAACCTACGTTACTTAAAAATAATCTCCTTCTAAATTTTTTATGTTCTAGGTTTCTGGGCCACGTTGTTCCTTATCTCACATAGAAGTAGGATCTGTGTTGCATTTGCCTTTTCTTGCACTTCAAACTAGTTGATGAACTCTGATAACTTTATTTCTAGTTGTGGGTTTTTGGTGAAGAACTGATCCTTAATCGTCATCAGTTTCTTCTTCTTCAATGATGGTCACACTAGAAACAACTTCATCATTTTTTTTTTTCAAAATATAAGTAGGCAGTACAAGTGATCCGTAGACAGTTTTCAATACATCCGTTTGTTGATACTCACGCATGTATTTTTAAGATGATGACGGATATAAGAATAAACTCACAGGGAGCAAGTACAGCGGGGATCTACAGTCATCAGTAGAAATTATCCTCTTTCGACACACGTTTCGGCCCACGATTCCTAAACGTATTCGGAGGTGGGCCCACCTGAGTTCATGAAGCTCAGGGCTGCTTCCCCGCCGCACAGAATTACCGGATGGTGTTATACTTTCGGCCAGAGACAAGACGACTTGGTGGTTTCGAAGGAGGTACTGTGAGATAAGAAGCCGCCACGGCAGCGTAATTAGAGCAGTCCGCATGCCTGGACGACCGAGCGACAAGCTTACTTTGGTTTACCAGACACATCTTGGACTTTTATTAGCAGTTGGCAGAGAGACACTGGCAGACAATTCGTACACGATGGACTTTTCAAAGGGATAAGAAACTCTTTTCCACTAGATACCCGGACCAACTCACCGAGGCCCGTCCCCTACGTTGTTGCGTTGCGTCCACAACCAGCTAGAGGCCCTTTCGGCCACCTCTCCCAGTTTTTTGAGTGCCCGTTTCCGTTCATTACCGCGCAATCCTAACTCTTTAACCACATTGTAGAGCGAAGTGGAAACGAGGCCTCTCGCTCCCACTTCGACGGCAAATACCCGCACTGTGTAAGCCTCGTTTCTCCTCAAACCGGCTGCTAAATCACTGTATTTCTCGAGCTTATACAAATGATTCTCCTCCATCCGCGACTCAAACGGGACCGTCAACTCAATCAGGATGAGTTGCCGTTTTTGCGCAGAATGGAGAACGATGTCCGGTCGCAGGCCGGTTTTTACGGATCAACTCGGGATACCGTTCATGTCCTGGCAGATCAACCGCCAGTAACCAGTCCCTCGCAGAGTCTAGCACAGATGGAGCGAATGCGTTTTTGTTGACATTACCTTTTGGAACCTGCCCAGCCTTGAGGAAACGAATGGGGACGATACTAGAACTGGCTCTGGCATTAGCCCTCATTCTAGCCTGGTCGACAACGGCTGCTAACTCTTTTAGCACCTTGTTGTGGCGCCAGGTATAGCGGCCTTGACCTAGGGCTTTCCTGCACGCGGACAGGACGTGCTCAAGAGTTTGCTTTGATTTGCACAACGGGCAAGTCGGATCGTTGGTCGCAGACCATTTAACCATGTTAACACCGGACGGTAATACATCGTACGCCGAACGAACGATAAAGCTCAGTCGCAACGGGGTCATCCGCCAGATCTCACCCCATGTGAGTATTCTAGGCAATGCGCTCTCCAGGCTGACCCAATGGCCCTGCTGCGACTGCTGGGCTGCTTTCTGAACCCGAATCTCGTTTTCGTTGTCCCTCACCGTTTGTATCACCATGTCTCGGCGTTCTTTCGCTGAGGCCTTTGACCATAAACTAACAGTTAAACAAGTGGCGGTTAATTGAAGTTTTACTGTAATGAGACCATGGACATAATACTGCACAGAAAACTGTATGGTAAATGTAGTTGTATCTCATCGAGTGTATTGCTACAGAGATTAGATCAACATACAATGAAGCACACAAAATTATTCCTTTTAAATTAAATACACAAATTACAGTGTCTCTTGTTACACTGTACGTCTCCCCAAGGAAGTTTATGAGTAACCGTGTGTTCCGTTGGACGGATAATTTCTGCCTAATTAGAATTTGTTTCCACCCCACTAAGTGGCTTTTTACTAAGTGAGATGAGTTTAAAATTTGCTTGCTTATTCTTATAATCTGTTCCTTTTCCATGGGAATTGTCAGATCTAATTGTAATCTCCTATCAGTTATATTTGTAAACTTTGTTTAATCTTATGTGAGTGGGAAAGAACCGCGCGTCGTTCCCAAACTGAATTAAAATTATGGGCTTGGTTAATTATTATTGTTGTTATTAGTATTATTATTGTTATTATAGTCCTTGTTAGTATTATTATTGTTATTATTATTATTACAAGCGTGTGTTATTCCAACACAGGTATGATGCCACCGACATGAACCTGTACCGCAGTGCCCTGAGCGCATGTGTTGTCAAAGGATTGCCTAACGTGCGTGACTACATCTACCAGAACCGAGTATTCCGGGATACCGACAACTCAACAACAGTGGATCCTCCGATAGAACCGACAATCAGCTCCTGACGTTTGAGTGCTCAAAGTCCTGATAGGACGCTGCATGGACGCCAAAGGAATTTTGCTTAATAGAGGGAGTCCGAAGTTTTGTTAGCTCGGTACCAACAAGTTCTTTCCAGACCCGCGCATCTTTGCTGCAGCTGATGTGAAGAATAAGCGGGCTAAATCATGAATTGGAACCAGCCGTTGTGACTAACGATCGACGGATGTAAATGATATACCTTTTCTAACCTAGTCATGCCTATATTATATTATCTTTATTAGTTACATATACACGCTCCTTACAAATATCCGAACTTTTTGAATTCCATATTAGCAGTATTTATATGGTATCATGTTATAAGTGTATTAAGATTATAATAGATATTATTATAGATATAATGACATAAAGGTAAAACGAATGCCGCCTCCGCGGCAAATGCCCATCTATGTAATAATACGTGTGTCCCTGTTTGAAACTAAACAATGTTTAGTCCAGAATAGTAAAAACTCTTTATAGCGATGTCTTTTGCCCGGGAGACGTATGAAAAATGTCTGCCAAGAGCTTCCAAAATTTGTTATAAATAACAAATTCTTATAATATGTTATTCAGTTGTTTATATTGAGTGTCAGCTGTAGAGAGATCTTACCGAAACTTTTAATTGTTTGATTAATAGATTTTATTCTAGAAGTAAAGGAAAACAAATCACTGTGGTATTTCATTTTTGTCATACACACATGCACAAACACACAAACACATACACGTACCACGCACACACATTCACATGCATAGACGCATGCACACCCTAGTGATTTTCTAGAGTTTAGCGTCTTAAGAAGGAATTGAGCCTCAAACTTCCAGGACTGTACCCCAGTCTACAACATCTCCATCACAAGACTTCGTTTTTTCTGATAGGAAACTGAAAGCATATTCATATAATTGACACCACTAATCCTCGAGAGTAAGACTGTTACCTGTAGAATGATTCACTTCTCTTCTCAGAACACCGGAGAATGTATAAACTTATATTGAAAATGATATGATGTGCAAGGAGTAGAATGACCTCCGGGATTATCCAAAAAATACTTCGTAACAGCATGACTGGATACACGGCATTTTTTAATGTACTAGTTTGCCCGCAGATCTGACTTCTTTTGATAATAACAGAAAGAAAGAAGCAGTAATGAATCTTATTCTTTACTTCAGTCTTTGGCCGATTTTCATGATTTAAATGTAGATTATATATTTAATGTAGAATTACCAACATAAATCTTTCTGTTAATTATTCCTGATTTAGTTGTACTCTGTACACTCTGTGTTGAAGCAACAAGGAAATAACTGGCTGAGTTCACCACCATAAATTTAATTTGGCTTTAGCTAATTAAATGGAATGATTCACTTCTCACCGCATTCTCATCATATTGTGAGAATATGTCTTGATAAGGTAGTTAATGACTATAGCTCATTACCAAAGACTGAATGAAATTCTGAAAAAGGGTCAAGGACTGCGGGGGATAAAAGAAACCAAAATTCACACAATTAGGGCCGGGATTTTTAAAAATTGATTTAGCGATAAGAAGTTGCTATGAATCGCTTTAGCCCTCGCCTGCCGTAAAGGTGCCTTGTAATATTGCTATTTGAAAACCGCCTTTCTAAACGTGAACGTCTGTGTAAATGAATGCTGCACCCATTGGTTTCTAGAAAACGGTTCTAATTATGACAATTCCGTATTTGATTTCGAGGCCTCAAAATGTGTATCTTGCACAATGTTTGGATTAAAGCACTTCACCTTGGTTGCTAAATGCTGAAAACAAAATGCTTTTAGTTGATCGGAGCGTGATCAGTTGTTCCAATAATATGTCTAGTGTCTTAACAACAGTAATTGATTTATGTACTCATATAAGACTTATCGAGTCCTAGCTGTTTGCTTTTCAAAAAGTCTTTAAAAAAAAGATATTTAGACTCGGATAGTATAGAATCGTGAAAAGCGAGCCTAGTGAAACTTTAGGACATTTATCTTTTAGCTTGCTTTATTTCGGCATTAACGTAAGTTTGTTCTGTGGCTTTTAATTCCAGAATAAACGGAGAGAGGCGTGATCATCTCTTACTTGGAGTGTTGTTTTTTAAGTTGCAAATTTTTGTTTTGTTTTTTGCTTTTGTTAATTGTTTGTGTATCCCTTAGGTATAATAATAGTAACAACACCACAGTGAGAGTATGCACAGCAGGAGTCTACTGATCATCAGTAGGTGGGCCCTTTTCAACAATTGTTTCGACCCGTCATCCATCCTAGACGATCTCGAGGGGTGGGCTGAATAGATCATGACGCCAGACCTCGGACTGCTGTGCGTATCCGACATTTTGACAAGATGAAATGGTAGTTTTGCAATAGTTGCTTAGGTTATAGTGTATTATGTCTATATATATATATATATATATATATATATATATATATATATATATATATATATATATATATATATATATATATATATATATAATCTCTGCCGTTTTTTAAGTTGCACATTTTCTTTTTCGGTAATGAGTATCCAAGTGATATTGCAAATCTATTCGTCACCATTGTCCAAAGTAGCGGCCCGAAACCAACCAGACATCGGGAGCTCATCCTCCTCACCACATTTACAAATGTTCTAATGGGAAAAAGGGTTGAGGGAGGGGTGGGTGGGGGGGGGGCGGTGCATATCACTGCCAAGTCCTAAACCTTTTTTAAGCGAATATAGTAAGTATAAAAAAAACCTGAATGATAACTATATATAATAATATATTTAAAATAGTACGAAATATTAAAGGGAAGTTAACTCAGTCAAGAAAAGTCGGATGCGTCGAGCGAAAGGTGGACAATGTTGCCGGTAAACAAGCACAACGCAGTTACGTCACTCAGACGAACGACAAGAAGATATTAAATATTTCATATTTACTTTTAAAGAGAATCTCTGCATATAGGGGTCACTTAGTCCCATTACACAATTTAGGGGGAAGGGGTCTCGGCCTAATCTCCTAAAATGTCTCAAGGGGGGGGGGGGGGCGCTCAAGGAACCTGAACCCCCTAGGTTTCAGTGCTTATAAAGTTACAAATATCTCCGGTCGATGTATTATGTCCATGTATATAATGAAAGCGTGCATCTCTTATCTATATATCTATATGTAGGTGTGATCCTCTGCTCCGAATCTCTGCTGCCATCATTACAGAACTCTCCGTTGACTACTATGGAGCTTTTATGGGATTGTCCTCGGGAAAAGTGATGTCGATTAATCATTCATTTTCCTTTTCCCGATGTGTACATAAAGGTATAATCGCTTCTCTCGGTGCCCACCTTGAGATATAATCTCCTTTTTCAGTGCCTACATTGAGCTATTCACTTCATCTCATTGTACATATATTCGGGTGCACATTTATTCTTCCAGTTCCTGACTTGTGGTGTGCAGTTCTTTTCCTGTACTTCCATGTAAGCATACATGCTCTTTTTCTAAATACCATTAGCGAGGTATGCAACTGCTGTCCCGGTACTTATAAGCAGCGGTAACACACCTCATCTTCAATGAGTAAGTAAGAATAAGCTCCACAGGGGAGCAAGTACAGCAGGGATCTACCAATCGTCAGTAGAAGTAATCTCTCGTCGACAAACGTTTCGGCCCAAGAGCTTCTAGACGTTTTCATAGAGTGGGCCCACCTGAGTTCATGAAGCTCAGGGTTGGTTTCCCTGCTGCACGAAATTACCGGATAGTGTTCGGATAGTGTTCGGATAGGGACAAGACGACTTGGTGATTTTGCAGAAGGTACTGTGAGATAAGAAGTCGTCGCGGTAGCATAATTAGAGCAGTCTGCATACCTGGACGACCAAGCGACAAGCTTATGATTGGTATACCGGACACAAGTTGGACTTTGTTAGCAGGTGGCAGAGGAACACTGGCAAACAATTCGGACACGATGGACTTTCAAGGGATGAGAAACTCTTTTCCACTAGACACCCGGACCAGCTCACCGAGGCCCGTCCCCTACGTTGTTCCGTTGTGTTCAACGCCAGCTCGAGGCCCTCTTAGCACCCTCGCCCAGCCGTTTAAGTGTCCATTTATGTTCATTACCGCACAATCCTAGTTCTTTAACCACATTGTAGAGCGAAGTGGAGACGAGACCTCTCGCTCCCACTTTGACGACAAAGACACGTACTGTGTACGCCTCGTCTCTCCTCAGACCGGCTGCCAAATCACAGTATTTCTCGAGCTTATACATGTGATTTTCGTCCATACGCGACTCATAAGGGACGGTCAACTCAATCAGGATAAGCTGCCGTTTCTCCGCAGAGTGGAGAACTATGTCAGGTCGCAGGCCGGTCTTCCGGATTAACTCAGGGTACCTTTCATGACCCGGTAGATCAACCGCCAATTACCAGTCCCTCGCAGAGTCTAGCATAGATTGAGCGAATGTGCCTTGGTTTATCTTACCTTTATGAATCTGCCCAGCCTTGAGGAAACGTATGGGGACGATGGTAGGACTGGCCTTCGCGTTGGCCCGCATCCTAGCCTGGTCAACAACGGCTGCTAACTCTTTTAGCAACTTGTTGTGTCTCCAGGTATATCGGCCTTGACCTAGGGCTTTCCTGCACGCGGACAGGACGTGCTCAAGAGTTTGCTTCGCTTTGCACAACGGGCAAGTCGGATCGTTAGCCGCCGACCACTTAACGATGTTAACACCAGATGGTAATACATCGTACGCCGAACGAACGATAAAGCTCAGTCGCAGTGGGGTCATTCGCCAGATCTCACCCCATGTGAGTACTCTTGGCAATGCGCTCTCCAGGCTGATCCAATGGCCCTACTGCGACTGCTGGGCTGCTTTCTGGAAACGAACCTCGTTTTCGTTGTCCCTAACCTGTTGTATTACCATGTCTCGGCGTTCTTTGGCTGTGGCTTTGGACCACAAATTGACCTTACCGTGACCTAGGCCTCGACGGTCGGTTTGAGTGTATTCCATTATTTCCTTCAATTTTAGTGCATTTTGGCAGATTCTAT